ACTCAAATCCATGCTTCCTTCTTCTTCAAGTAGTGAAACTGAGGAAGAAAGAGGAGATAAGAGTAGTGATGAAAATATTACTACTAATTCTTCTTCTTCGTATGGAGTGGGATTGAAGAATTGGATGCCAAGTTTATATGGTTTGAAGAACTCTGGTGTGGCTTTGGGTAAATGGGTGCCTCATTTGTATGTAAATAACAGTGACTATATTTGTTGCTCTTATACTGACCCTGATGGAACAGAAGAAAATAACAATGGTGGTGATAAAGAGAATGTGGGACCTAGAAATAATGGGCAAATGGCGGCTAAGCTGTCTGTGATGTCAAAGGGAAACCAGAAGTTTCTAGAGGCTCATGGATTGGCACAGTGGTGGTCTGATGACTTGGAACTTCAAATGGTTGTTCACAACAGTAAGATTATAAGTAGGCAGCTGAAATCCTTGTACACTCTTCCACCTCCACAACAAACACAAGGAAAGCATCCCAGATAACGAAATGGTTTATCTTTATCATATGGATTGGAGTTGACAGAAAATTTGTTTGGTGTGTGTGTGTGCGCGCGCTTAGTTTTCGGACAAGATTCAAATAGAATCTAAAATGATGTGAATCTTCACATCAACATAATAAAATTATTTATTTTTTATTTCCCTCAGTCTATTTGTGCTTACCAAAAGATATTCTCGTCCAATTCTACTCCCTATAGAAATGATAGAGAAATAGTTCCACTAAAATAGCATATTAAAAGGGTCCTGTCTTTATGGCACCAGTGCTGATTCACAAGTTTTTTGTAATTTTTATAACTTTAATGTTCAAAATTTGTAAGTGTATTCTCCAAATGTGCAAGTTGTTGTGTTCTTCTTGAAATTCACAAAATTAACTATCGAAATTCATGAGTTTTAACGTAAAATGTGCAAGTTATTGTATTCTTAAAACAATGCTTAAAATTGTCTTTCTGGCACTATAAAAGTTTACTACATAAAAAAAATATCTAGGGCCTATTTAGAATGGCGCAAAAAATAAATAAATATATATATATATTTTAAACTTATTGTTAATCTAAAAGTTACTTTTAAATCTATTTGGATGGATACACTCATGTCTCGTTCATTTTACCGATTCGAGTTTAGAATTTGAGTTTTATTATAGTAAAAAATTCTCAGAAACAGTCACATTTAACTTTTTTACTACAGTAAAAAACTCTCACATAAAGTCACATCTCAGTTCGAATTAAAACTCAAATCAGCAAACTATACGGACCCTCAAAGAGCTTTTGACATTTTACAAGTTCTTTTGGAATAAGACAACTCCTTAGTGCTTAAAGAGCTTATAAAAAAATTTTATTCACCTTTTATTTATGAGTGAGAAATTGAAAATACATGTATATTCTTATCTTACATTTATTTTTTAGATTAATTACACATATGGTCTCTGACTTATGATGTCACTCACTTTAGTCCATGACTTTCAAAATATCTCAAATTCCATCCTTGATCTATTAGCTTGTTTTAGTTTTAATCCTTTTCGTTAAAAAAATGACAAAGTATGTACATGATGCTAACAGAAAATAATAATTATTAATAGAACACAAAATATGCACGTGAGTCTAACAAAAAAAAGTGTAAAATAAAACTATGCTAACTAAATAATAAATGTTTTTAACACCCAACTGATGCAAATGACTAAAAATGAAACAAGCTGATAGGTCAAAGAAGGGGTTTAAGACTTTTAAAAGTTGGAAAATACAGTGGGATTAGCAACATAAATAGGGAATTATTTATGAGATTAAACTCTACTTTTCATAACAATAGCTTTTGATTTATTTAACCAAACAAATTCAAAAATCTTCTAAAATCAAAAAGTGTTTTTTTTATTTTTTTACGTGCACTATCAAAATAGCAATTAAAAAGTCTTAATTTATACCTTTCTTCTTTTATTGTCTAAAAGTAGAAGCAAAATTATAAACAGATTTGAATAGAAATTCAAATTTTTTATTAGAAAAAATTATTGTAGGTTCAAACCCCCGAAACAAAATGGCTCTAACTATTTTGAGGTGAGGAAATTTGGGAATGTGAGAGCGGGGCCAAATTTCCTCTCTGGTGGGCCCCGGATTGCAATGTCGGCCTAGTAGATCGACAAACGGGCTGGCTATGGTGCTGGGCCTCGGCAGAGTACGCCCTTCTTGGAACGCCAAGAGGCTCTGAGCGAGCTGACTTTCACTTTCCTTCGAGAGGTTAGCGAGAGTGAGACAAGAGGATAGAATGGATGTACCGAGGAAATATTAGCAGAAACCGTAACTAGTTCTAGTTAACCTCTGGTTCATCAGAATCTTTGTGTAAGAGGTATATTTCGTTGTTGTGAATTCAAAAATAAAATGACTTTCTCAATAATCTTTTCGTTTGACAGGTTTTTCTGCGTAAACGATAGAAATCTTAAATTTTATTAAGTTTTTAAGAATTATTTTTATAAATACCCCCTCAAATTATGTATCATATTTTAAAGTGCTCTCAATTTTTAAAACAATTTAAAACACCTCTTGATATATAAAAAATAAATCAAATTGTCCATTTCGTCCATAATACTAATGGTTTTGTTGACATGGCATGTCATTTAACATTAACTAAAGCTATTAAATTCAAATTAAACCTATAAGAATATCAAGTATAAATGAATAATAAAGAATAAATAAAAAACTCTTTAAAAAGAAATGAAAAGGGGATTAATTATTACAAGTAATAAAAAAAAATCAAAATCTAAAGATTAAAAACCAAATGTCTGAAAAAAAAATGTTTGAACTCCAAAACAGATTCAAAGGAAACCTAACAAGCAATCACAGTGGCTCCATGGTCTTCTTCTCCGTCATCTTTTGAGATCTCGTTCACTTCATGAATTTGAGTTTTCAATTTAAGTTGAAATGTGATATTTTCTGAGAGTTTTTCACTGTAACAAAAAAAATTAAATGTGATATTTTTTAATAATTTTTTACTGTAGAAATCTAAAACTGAAAATTTAAATCGGTAAAATGAACGATGCATGAATCTCTTAACAAAACTTTGCCCTCTGGGTTAGATTCTTCAGCACAAAGATGAATCCCAATTTCATCCACACTCCAAAGTCTTAGCCCTCCAAAACCCTAAACCAAGAATCCCCAAATTTCCATTATTTTCTCTTCTCCCAGACACACACATTGGAAAATTAGTTTCCAACCTCCCAAACATACACATTGGAAAATTACAGATTGTTTTCTCTCTCTCCACTCACTTTCGATCACTCCGTTCTCTGTGAAATCAATAGACTAATCATTCACTAAGAAACAGACAGAAAAATCCTCTAAAATTCACGAAAATCACCAACAATAGATTTAGAAAGAAAGAAAAAAAAACAGAATACTTGAAATCGGAGCGGTCGATCTGGTTGTGGACCTCGCGGATCTGGATAGTATTGGCGAGGAGGTGAAGAAAAGTCAGTGCGAAGAGAAGCGGAGGCCTGGGTTTAAGGTAGCAGCCTAGGATTAGAAGGCGGCTCGGTGGGGTTCGCCGGAGGAAGAGGGGCGATATCATGAAATGGGTTTGCGAGAGGGGACGTGGGCGGTGGATCTGAGCTTGGATTTGCGGTGCAGCGGGGTCACGGCCGGTGAAATAGAGTTGCGGGCGTGGGTGGGCGGCGGGGGGATGGGCGGTGGGTTCAAGTATTAGGGTATGGGTTTGTTTCTGGGTTTGCAAGCAAGCAACAGCAATGAGGTAGAAGACGACTTGGTTTTTTTAAGTCATTATAACTTTTTCAAGGTTTTTTAATTTCTTTTTTATTGTTTATAATATTTAATCAGTTAAAAAAAATAATTTAAATTTAATACATTTATTTTCCATTCACTTTAAAATTTAAATTTTATTACAATATAAATAATTATATCTAATTTTTTTAATTAAAATAAAAAATCTTCTCCCATCTCAACTCAAAAATATATTGATGTGTTGCTTTGTTTTATTTAGTATTATTGGTTTTATTTTCGTATTAAAGTGTGTAATTTGTACACAAAATGAATGCTAATGGAAGGAAACATCAATGGATTGCATTGGAAAATTCAAAGCCAGTAAAGTGCTTGTTAGATATGGCTAATAGTGAAAAATGGAAAACAGATACTCAGGCCTCGTTCGTTTCGCTGATTCGAGTTTAGAATTGGAGTTGAGATGTGATTGTATGTGAGAGCTTTTTACTGTAGCAAAAAAGTTAGATGTGATTGTTTGTGAGAGCTTTTTACTGTAGCAAAACTCGAATTCTAAACTCGAATCAGCGAAACGAACGAGGCCTCAGTTACTTACAATAATTAAAAAAAAATGATGAATGAAACTTTTAATTTCAGGTTTGGAATCTTATTCAAGTATATGTTCTCATATTTAGAATTTTTATAAAAAATTTTGAGTATAGAGGAGTTTAGTTAATATTTTGAGACTCTTATTATTTAATAATTTTATAGACTACTTATTGTGTTGTATTTTATACTTTTTAAAATATTAGTGTTAATGTTATGAGCTAAATATTTAAAAAATATTTTATACTTTTTAAAATATTAGTGCTAATTGTAATTCATTTAAAAAAATATATTTTTTTTTAATTCACAACATTTTCATGAATAACTAAACACAATAATATAATATTTTTTAAAATTTAATAAAGATTTTTGTATAAAATTAAACACAATAATACATTATTTATAAAAATCATATTACCTTTAATTATTTTTTAAAAAATATAATTTTTATTAATTATTACGTACCAAACGCCAATCAGATGCCACAACAAACTTGGACGGAAGAGATATTTTGAACGTTTTATGTAAATACACTATGAGGTGTTTTAAACTGTTTAAAACAGAGTACTGTTTGAAGGCAATTATGGTAATTATGAAAATAATCTTTCGTTTCAACTGAGGAAACGCAATGCTGTTTTTAATAACAACATCAACCTTGCGTGGGATGTTCTCTTTTGGCCCCAGACCCATTTATCTTCCTTCAATATTCAATAATCTCCAGCGTCCCGACGCTAATCAGAGATAATTGCTAAAATTCTTCAAATTTTTTTTCTTTTTCTTTTTTTTTTTCTGGGAGTTAAAATTCTGTCTTTATCTGCTTGCTCGGAGCTTCTTCTTCTTTTTTTTTTTTTTTTCCAGAAATTTCCAATTACATTTCAACCGAACATCAATTTAGGTCTCGGAATTTCGCACCCATGGCTCAAACCAGCAACAATGTGAGTCGAGTTTTTCGTTTGGTTATTTACTTCCCTAGCTCCGTTTCGATTTTCTTAGGTTTTATCAGAAGATTATTAGTGAATATGAAATTCTTAATTTCTGTTTTCCCCTCCGTTCATATCACACTTTGGTTGAGTTTTTTGACTTGACTCTCCCAAAATCTAGCAAAAAATGAACTTATTTTTATTGATTATTATTATTATTTTGTTGTAAATGATTTAGTGTACAATTACGTAGCTGAATTTCAAGGTTTTGATTGTTTATGTTTAGGCACTTGGCGTTGATAACACCTTTAGAAGGAAATTTGATCGAGAAGAATATTTGGAACGAGCTCGGAGCGCGAAAGACAGGTGTTTTTTTTTCACTTCAAAGTTTCTCAATTTATTCGTGTTTTGCTTTATATATATATATATTTTCCTTTTCGGCGTTCTGCAATTGATTCGGGGCCCTTAGTGACATTTCTTTTGCTAATTTGCTGTACTGAATTTTAATTTTAGGAGGCGGAGGGGAAAAATAAATCCAAATGTAAGTTGATTTATGATTGAGCTTTTTTTTTTTAAATATGAATTGCAATGGATTGATGAACCCTTTGGACTGTAGAAAGATGGGTTTCAAGCGTTTTTGACATATCTTCTGTGCAGCAAAAGGCCCCCCGTGCAAAGAAAGCCATTGAAACATAGAGATTATGAAGTGGACCTTGAATCTTGCTTGGGAAAAACTCAAGTAAGTTGCTAGATCTTCATTTAATTGCTTTTATGTATTTTGTTGACATTGCTGAACTATTAGTTTTAGCACCGGCAATATAATTTCTTGTGGAGGAGTAAATTAGTTGGCCGCTGCCACCGCTTGATATGCGAATGAACCTAATTCATTTCATGAGAGAGTCGGGGATTTCACCTTTTTCGTTTTTGTATGCAACATACATGCTGAAGTTATGATTGTTGATTATTATTGATGGAGGGGTCAGAGAGTTGTTCTGTTGTTCAGAATTGAGATAGTGCACCAGCGGCTGGCACATGAAGAGCTACTAAGCTTTAAATGGGGCTTCTATTTGGAGATGGTTATTATGTAATATTACAAGGACTGTTACTTCATCTGAAGGAAACTTTAATTCACATTAGGGAAATAGTAGAAAATAGACAAATATGAAAAGCTTAAGAAAGTATATAGGTTAATTTTTAGTTATAAAAATTAATAGGTCATAACTTGTCAAGTTATGGTTCATAACCAGATAAATTATGAACAAACTTGTCAAGTTATGGTTTATAACTAGACATGTTATAGACAATTATGGACAATAACTTGTCAAGTTATGGTTCATAACCAGATAAGTTATAGACGAAAACAATAATTTAACTTATTTATTAACTTACGTAAACTATTGACCTATTAATTTTAATTCATCTCAAATCTGAACATATACTTCACATTATTACATATTTCAGCCCAAAATCCAACTCGAGTTGGGCTTACTTGAGTTAGTCCATCAAGTGAACAGGCCCTAACTTTTTGCTTTCATTCCCACCGTTTGAGGAAATTGCATCTCATATTTGATATTACCATCAGATTATTGTACTTTTTCTCATTTTTTTTTTCAGGTACGATATACCCAAACCGTATCAGGAAATGGCTCCAACAGATGCGAATGCACATGGAAGAGAATAAAACAAAAAAATTGCATTTAACTAACAAGTAACACACAGAAAAAAATTTGAGCGAAACATAGAAAGAACTCGAAATTGATTTTGGGAGGGAAAAAAGAGAGAGAAGATCCATGATTTCTCTGTTGTTCTTAAAAACTCTTCACTGCATCTTCCAGCCAATATTGAAGCTTTTTCGATTCATCTTGTGATGGCTGTGGAGTGTTAGAACGGATCCACTCTGCGCAAAGGGATTGGATTTGGCCATCTGGGTAATGCTGTTGACGGAAAGGAGAATGACCTTGAAATTTCTTAGACCCAAAAACCCCAAGTCCTTTACTGCAGATTTAATGATTTATTTTTATTTATTTATTTATTTATTTTGCTCTCCCTTGATGTTAAAAGCGTGTGAAGGAAGTTTTTTAAACGTGTTTGAAACTCGTTTTAAAATAATTTTATTTTTTATATAAAAATAAAAATGAAAACGTTTTTAATCTCAGATAGAAATCATTTTTAAAAATGCGTTTGGTAGTTTTATCAAGAGATTATTTTCAGTGTAAAAAAATTTAATAATGTTTCTCTTCTCTCTCCGTTCGAGAGAGAAGAAAATGAAAATAAAAAATGAAAAATGACAATCATTTTTTATTTCTCTCATTTTATACTAAACTAAAAAATCATTTTTATTTTCATTTTTTGTCTTTATTACGTTAAATACCATTTTAAAAAGGGAGAAAGAGGGAAATAAGTCAAGATTTAAGATGAATTAAAATTAATAGGTCAATAGTTTACATAAGTTAATAAATATGTCAAATTATTGTTTTCGTCCATAACTTGTCTGGTTATGAATCATAACTTGACAAGTTATTATCTATAAATCACAGTTTTTATCTATAACTTGTCTGGTTATAAACTATAACTTGACAAGTTTGTCCATAACTTATTTGGTTATAAATCATAACTTGATAAGTTATGGCCTATTAATTTTTATAACTAAAAGTTGACTTATATATTTTTTTAAATTTTTCATATTGTCATATTTTCTACTATTTTCTTTTTAAAATGTCTATTTTTTTCTCGAAACATATGAAAAATAAAAACATAATCAATTTTAAACACAGCTTTTGTTTTTTTTATTTTTTCTTTTGTAAACGATGTTAGTTCAATTGTGCTGCTATCGACCTGGCTAGTTTTACTGAAATACCCTTCATTAATTGATATTTGGAATGCCTTTAAAAGCATTCCGTCACTTTTATGGACGGAAGGCCACAGAAGGACTATTTTTGCCACTTTATATATAGTAGCGGTGAGAATGTTATATTTTAAAGATTATGGAGACATGAGGTTTATAGTTTAAGGCGTATTTTTAAAATTAATCTAATATGATTTGACACAATCTAAGTTACTCACAATCAAATAGGATGTTTATACACCATTTAAAGTCGTGGTGTAGTGGTAAAGACACATTTGTTAAGTCTTTTTTACTCATCATTACTTATTATGATTGAAATGGTTAAGAGACATGAAGTTCAGATCTTATTTTTTGAGTAGAAAAAAAAATATTTATACACAAAATTTATTCCAACATAATAATTAAAAAAAATCTCCACATAATCCAAGTTGCTTTTCATCTACAATTCAGTGAACAAAGCAAGGATCTGATCGCAGACTCTAGCTGTTTGCTTAGATATTGAAAAAATCAAGGGACACTTACATATTGACCACAAATACAATAAACTCAAATAAAAAATAAATATAAGCAAAGAGAGAGAAGAAAAATAATTGATGTCTACAAGACTATATTTCATTTTAAAAGAAAATTTAAACAAAAAAGAGAGAGAGAGAGAGAGAGAGAGAAAATAAGAACTAATAAAAAATCCAGCTCAAGTAAGGTTGGCTTTCTTTGTTTTTTTTTTTTTTTTTTTTTTTTTTTTTTTTTGGTTGAAAGGGTTCGCTTAAATTTAGTTCGTAGCAGGCAACAGCAGACAAAGAATGGAGCCCATAGATAATATCTCACCCACCATCCAATCCCCATACAATATTGTGCGAGGTAAAAACTTAAATAGAGCACATGCTAGTCTTCTCCGTCAAGAGTAAAATAAAATGTATAAAAAAATATCCTACTAATATGCATGTATATATAATTTTTAAGTATAAGATCTCATTAATTGAGGAAAAAAATAAACAGAACTTGGTTGACGGTCAAAAATATGAACCTGTGCTATTCTTATTATCCTAATTTAAAAAAGGATAAAAAAATCAAAAATAATAAATAAATAAATAATAAATAGAGAATTAAGTGAAACTTAAATGACTGCTAAAATTAAATTATGTTAATACAGGTTTTTTCCTTACTCTAGAAAAGCCTCCTCTTGAAATAAGTGAAATGAAATAAAAAAATTTACAGATTTTTTATTTTTGATTTTGATAATATAGATTGATAACGTACAAAAACAGTAGATTAGTGTCGGTGCATGGCCGAATGGCAAAGTGAATCCAATAAAGTAGAGAACACCGAAAACCCATCAACACCAACGGTCCAATCTGCAAATCCAATGCTGCTTTCTCTTAATAAGTGAGACTCTTCTGTCTTTTAGTGGGTTTTTATTTTCTTATTTTTGTTTTATTTATGTTCAGCTTCACAAGACAATCAAAGTCCAAACTCACCGCAAGAAGAAACACATGTTGAATCTGTGAACGAGATTTTCCACTGACTTCTATTTTTTTAACAAAATCTTTGAAGTTTGAACACACAAAAAAAAAAAAAAAAAAAAAAAAAAAAGAGAGGTCCTCTTCGGGCAACGAGACGTACATTTTGTACCTACAGTCACCGAATCAATCAACCGTGTATTTTTTTTTCGCAATTTAAATCTTTTATATATAAAAGATATTAAAATAAAAAATTTAAATTTAAATTTTTAAGAAAAAAACACTTGAGATGTAAAAGAAAAAAGAGGCCTAAAATTTTTATTTTGTCATTATAATATCATTTCTATATTCATGATTTAGTGCAATATCTTAATACTTAATACTTAGTTAATATATATACTCTTATCATTATTACACTCATGTTACACTTAAATAAATTAGATGTCACATGAACGCATGAATTTTGTTACACTAACATAAGTGCCAGATTATTCAGGCATAAGGAGAGATTTGAGATTTTACCCACAATTTTATTTTTAGTTTTTTGTTAAGACTTTTTTTTAGTATGCCAATTAACAGATTAAGTTTTTTATTTATCGTATCTATATAAAATCATATAAAAATTAAAAGATACCCAAATTACTTAAAATTTCTCTTTTTTTATACACAATTTTTTTTCACTTTTTTTTTTTTTTTTTTCATGTACATATGTTTTGCATATTATCCTCAGGCCCTTCCTGAAAAGGACACGATACTCCATAATTTATGTAGAGGAAAGTGACCAGGTGTCAAGCTCAGAGCTTAGCCTTTTACTCTCTCTCACCATCTCCTTTTTCTCTTTCCTTAATAATAATGGCTCTCTGGCTTTACCTTCCTTGCTAGCTGTTTCTACTTCTTCTTCCTTGCTCTTCTGGGTCTTAAAGGTTTTTTTTGGTTTTGTGGCCAAAAACGAAAAACCAAAAAAAAAAAAACCCAGTTCTCAGCTCAGATCTTGAGGCTGAGCTGAGATTGTGATTATGATGATGATGATGATGAGGCTTCACTATCACAATCATTATAGAGCTCTAGTTGGACTCTTGGTGCTGCTTTTTCCCCTTTTGTTTCCGGCTTTGTTCACTCCATTCAGCCACGCTTCAACTTCCACTTTCTTGGTATGCTTTTTTTTTGTTATTTTTCTTTTCTTTTCCTGTTTTGGTTAAAAAATCTGTACCTGTTGGTGTTAATAATAAATGGGGTTGGTTTAGTTTTGATTTATTTGTTTCTGTCTCAACAAAATGTAGAGAATTTGTTTATGGTAGTGGGGAGTTTCTGTTGCTAAAATGTGGGTGTTTGAGAGAAAAATTTGGAACCCATTGAGTTGTTTTCTTTTTTGGTACAGAGATGGATTTGTTTGTATTATCTAGAGTTTTTTGATCCTGTTTTATTCAATTAAAAAGAAGCAATAGTTTGCAGAAAACCGTTTATAATTATTGGCTAAAGGACAGCCGACAGTTTGATTAACATGTAAGGAGTTTTGGTCTTCTAGAACTTTCTGATTTAGGTCCATTAGCGTTTAATGTTTATTTAGGTTTTTTGTTGAGTTTGTGTTGTTAAATAGCTCAAATAAAAAATAAGCTAAAATGGTTGCGGAATATATGGCTTCAATTTTCAAATGATGGCCAATGAACTGTGGACCAAAAAAAAAAAAAAAAAAAATTGCAGGACTTTTTTAGTATGGAAATAGATTGGAAATATGTTTTACACCAGTTATACTTGATGTGCATTGTCTTGCCACCAAGTGATCTTGCAAATTTCTTTTTTTTTTTTGTATCAGTCTGCCATAAAAATTTGCTTCAACTAGGTGAAATTAACTTTTCCATGGCGTAATTCTGGTGCTTTTAATATAATGAATTTTCAGGAATGGAATGTTCCAAAGCCAAGGCACTCATGGCTACTGAAGAGCGCCTTACAAGCCGAAACTGTAAGAGTTGATTGCACGCAATACGTGTTACTTAATGAAATTTGATCGTGGTAGTAAAAAGTCTCTATTGAATTTGTTCACTCTTGCAGTCGAATACACAGCAATCAGATCTCTGGACTCCTTTGGGCAACCAAGGATGGAAGCAATGTGTTGAATCTTCAGTTGGCCCTAGTGAGTAATTAGGATAAGAGAACTTATGAACCATGCTATTTAACATCTTTGTATTCTTGCTTAGCAGTTAGCACTAAGACAGGAGTTCTGGGACTAATATGTTTTGTCTTATTGGTGTTATTTTTATGCAATTTTTTAGCTTTACCAGAGAAATCCACGGGATATATTCAGGTTTTTCTGGATGGAGGGTTGAACCAGCAGAGAATGGGGGTAGGAATTTAAATCTTATGTAACTGAAGTGTAGTACAATATCTGTAGTTTTCATCCACTAAGATTTTATCATAATATGCATAAATTTTTACTCAAGTTTCAATTTTGATCGTAGATATGTGACGCAGTTGCTGTTGCAAAAATTCTGAATGCAACTCTCGTAATTCCATATCTGGAGGTGAATCCTGTTTGGCGGGATTCAAGGTACTTAGTAAAGCAAGTTATGCACCATTTTTGTTATACTATGTTTGCTCTCTATCTCTTTGAGTTTCAAGGAGATGTTAATCTACAAAACAACACATGTTCTTCTTTCTTTGCAGCTCCTTTGAGGATATATTTGATGTCCACCACTTTATTAATGTGTTGAAGGATGATGTTTCTATAGTTAGAGAGCTGCCTTATGAATTCTCGTGGAGTACACGGGAGTTCTATTCTACTGCCATCCGAACAACCAGGATCAAAACAGCACCAGTTCATGCTTCAGCAAACTGGTACCTGGAGAATGTGTTGCCTGTACTAGAGAGGTCAGTGGTTACCTGCCTGTTGGTTCAGTTTTCAACTGAATTTTGTTTTGGCATAATCTTTTCCTCTTTCAGCAGAAGCTAATTACTGTCTATATTTTGTCTTGAAACTATGTTGTTTATGTTTCAGTTATGGAATTGCTGCAATATCTCCTTTTTCTCACCGTCTGGCATTTGACAACTTGCCTATGGACATCCAACGGCTGCGTTGTAAAGTCAACTTCCATGCATTAGCTTTTGTTCCTCATGTTAGAGCACTAGGTGACGCTCTTGTCAGCCGACTGCGATATCCTTCTGAGACAAGAACCACACTTGGCACCACCTACCTACGGGAGACCGCAGACAGACGGCGGGCAGGGAAATTTGTCGTGTTGCACCTACGGTTTGATAAGGTATACCCCTCAGTCTTATGTAACTAGTTAAGTTAACTTTGTAGGTTTGCTTTCGTTATTTCTAGTTCTTTTGGATCTTGAGAACCTTGTGTTTTTGGAGACCAGGGATCTCTTGCATTCTCTGTTATATTAGATTTTAAGAACTTTGTTCCAAGGGCTTTGTCTTTTGTGTTTGTTCCTCTGCAGGATATGGCAGCCCATTCAGCCTGTGATTTTGGTGGTGGAAAAGCCGAAAAACTGGCTCTTGCTAAGTATCGGCAAACTATTTGGCAAGGAAGGGTCCTTAACTCCCAATTCACTGATGAAGAGTTGAGGAATCAGGGGCGTTGCCCATTGACTCCGGAAGAGATTGGAATTCTTCTAGCAGCTTTGGGTTTCGACAACAGTACTCGTTTATATCTTGCTTCCCACAAGGTTGGAATGTTACTTCTGTTAATCTCACTAGTGCTAATCCTTTTGGCTTCTGTTCATTTTTGAACTTGAATTTGTACTTTAGTTTCCCTGAGTTTTTAATTTTGAAACCGTCTTGGTTTCTAGGTGTACGGTGGGGAAGCTAGGATTTCTACTTTGCGACAATTGTTTCCATTTATGGAAGACAAGAAGAGCCTTGCTTCTTCAGAAGAACGGTCCCAGATTACAGGAAAGGCTTCTCTTTTAGCTGCCGTCGACTACTATGTCAGCATGCATAGTGACATCTTTATTTCTGCTTCTCCCGGAAACATGCACAATGCTATGGTGAGTACTTCTAACATGTTCTCCATAATCACAAACTCTTAATATTGGATTCATATTGTAGTAATTTAATTCAATTACTTGGAGACCGTCTTGCACTTCACTTGTCTGTGCATAATAGACCATCCTCATTCATAAGGTGAATAATATAAAATTTCTAACTAGGACAGCCTTGCACTTCAGAAATGTGTGAAAAAGTTTGCTGCACATAAAGAAAAGGTAAAAAACAGAGAAGCTAAGAAAGTCATTATTATTTTCTGCTATGTTGGCGAAGTAAAAGACTAGTTTATAAATACCAATGACTAGTTTATTGGTTTGGGGGATTTCGGGACTATAAAAAAAAAAAAGAGGGGGAAATAATGAACTTTTCATATCATTGTCAAACAGGTGGGACATCGTACTTACAATAACTTGAAGACCATTAGGCCAAACATGGCATTAATGGGTCAACTCTTCTTGAACAAAAGCATCAGTTGGTCCGATTTTCAGCAGTCAGTCATGGAGGGTCACCAAAGCAGACAAGGGCAGATCAGATTAAGAAATCCCAAACAGTCCATTTACACTTACCCTTCTCCTGATTGCATGTGCGAAGCTTAAGGATACACAATGCAGATATTATTACTGAAGTTGGGGAGGCTAGTTTTCTGTCTCTCAATATTTGTTACCACATGTACTCGTTGCTTGTATTGTTTGATAAATAAGTAATAATAATTACCATTTCTCTCTCATTCATAGAACTAGACAGGTGTTTCTAGATGCTTTATGGGATATGTTGGATTGGAACACGATTTAGGAAATTTGAGTTGTATTATTAGTTGATGTCTTATGGTTGGGAACGACATTTGTTGTCTGTAATTGTTATACTGGAGCAAGGTTGTGATACTATATAAAACAGTGGATTAGTGAATGTATTTGTTTCTTAATTCTGTTTGTGTGGTGTGTATGTGAAAGAAATCGCTCTCTTCTGTTAATTGGCAACCACCAATAATGTTTATCCATCTAAATAAATTAGCCAAGCATGGTGTATTGTCACATGATTTATGCATCTTTGAGTTCACGAGTTTGGATGCATGTCTTGTGAGTGTGGGAAAAGGTTCCAAAGAGGACCTCATTTTTGTGCAATTCTCTGAAAACATGTGATGTTAGGTCGTGTCCACATATAATCAAGTGGTATTCAATACCATTACCGGTCTTATAAGACATACACAAAAATACAAGTTCCCTTTGAGCAGTTTCATTCTTTCTCACTCGAGTTGCGTCGGGATTCGAGGCGGTGTTGCCTCCACCATGTAGGGCCAACTTCATCTCTAATATCGAGATGAACAACATTTTTCCTTCTTGTTACATGTCTAGTTACTTGCACGCGAACAGTGCAAAAGAAGCGCCTCAGAAGTGTCGGAACCAAATCACCAATTAACTGCTTAGTAATATTGTAAAGTGAAGTTTAGCACCACTAGTGTTGTCCAAAATTCTGCCTATTTGGAGGAGACAACATGAGAAAAATGGCACTGTCATTGTATTTTCATTTGCCAATCTATGTAAGCAAGATGACCGAGGATCTGTTTCTAGTACTGAAGTAGTATCTGGCTCAATTTGCTTCCAACCGAACTGCATCCGATCTTGCAGTCAAAAACAAGAAAGTGCAACAATCATGTTAAAGCCTAAAAAATGTTTCTGCATAAAATTTAAATTGCCGAGAACTCGCGAAGCACTCGAGCATCACAATACAACAATCCAATCACAACCGAAAACTACAGACTAGATTCATATTAGTATGGACAATGTGTCTCACGTTCACTTGTGGCCTGTGATCCAATCCATTAATCACTGAGAGGTTGTTCTTTTCATAACTCAAGTCAAAATCACTTCTGAATGACGAAAGAGGTTTTTTTAGGCTTGATTTCCCTTGAGAAGCTGATGCTAGAACTCAAGTTCTATTGCTACAGTAGTTTATCTCACAAAAATTTAAAATCAACTTTTTTGTTGCAGTGTTTTTTTCTCACGTACGCAACTTAAGTTCTCAACTTGAATTGTTAAATAAACAACCTCTAAGAATTTGTATGGAAACTTTTTTCTTTCACTTCGTCACACCCCGAACAGATTTTACAGCAAGAAACTTCGAGAAGGATTACTCAAAACCAGTGTGTTCCCAAGAAGAGAACAAGAATTCAAGGTTAAATGAAATTCTATTCCAATTCCGCTTGTGAATATCATATGATGCAACAAAAGGTAAATCAATGGACGGAGTTAAAAATTTATTTCAATAAGCTTCCCGTAGTGGCTACAACATTCAAGAATGCAACTTTGGACTTTTAAGTTTAACGGAGTAATTCAAAATTAATAATTATACAAACAATTAATGAAGAGTTATTAATCTTGATCCATCATTGTTAGAGGTTTAATTGTGCGTTTATCGGGTGCCCTTTCTAGCTCAAATACTATTTGTGATAGAGTTAAATTTTGATCCAATTGGACTAGGTTGAAAAACACCCCTAGATGCACACAAGATTGGTAGGCGCAGATTTAAAGGTGGACCAATGAAAGAACTTAGAAAATATATTTTTCCGGTTCGTAGAAGGGCAAGGAAGGGAGTAAAGAAGTTGAGGGAAAGTGAGCAATCCATTGTTTGATACAGGTGATTAGTCTAGGGAAAG